AAACTCTCCTTTAATTTAATATATCTGAGTGCTATCTGCCATGGTGATTCACGAATGTAAGAATCAGGCATTGTTAGTTAGGCATTGTTAGTATCAGGCATTTCTTGAGGGCTGAACTTCAATTCCAAGCAAACATGTACGTGTTTGTAATGTAAACAGTCTCCCCCAGAACGACTGTTAAAAATCAGGTAAGATGCCAGGTATAGGAGTTATTTTTGGAACAGCTTTTGCCTGTGGAGATACATCAGTTTACCCCAGCTGTGAATCTGGCCTATAGTGCTGTGTCAACAAAGATAACTAGCAGGAACCATTTAGACACATAAAATATGTTTTTGTTTGACATGTAGGGCCCGATCCTATCATGGTCAGTGCATTGAGGGGAGAACAGGATGCTGGTAGATACACAGAGATGCTGCAGTGAGGGTGTCATAGAAAACTGTTAGACAGCAGAAAGGTTAATATATATGTTCTCTGTCTCAGGATTCCCACGACCCACAGCAGGATTTCTTGTGCTGGGCCAGTGGGGGAGGAGGGGATTTCATAGTGGGATACATATGACTTTGGCCCTGAAAAGAAGCGTTCTACGCTATGTGTGTCATTATGACCACAACATAGGCACTAGCCAGCTGCAGGACTAAGTATATGACCTACTCAGCAGACTGTGAGCCCATGGGGACAAGGTGCATGGGCTAGAGCAGTAGTTGGCCTGCTCTTAGCTCTCTCCGTAGAGCTACAAAGCTATTCTGCTTGCACGGAGTAAGAAGCCCCCACCTCAGCTTCCCCCACCTCTGCACCTGCGTGCGCACACACACACACAAAGGTAGGAGCTAGTTCTGAGTGTAGCCATGTGTGCCATTTAATTTTATAGTTCAATTTACCTGAAGTATTATATGAAAGCCAAATGGTCTGTAGCATTTTAACTTGTTCACCTTAAAAACCACTTACACTGAAACTGTAGGGTTAAAATGATTCTGCCTGGATGTACTATGTGCATGCGGCCAACACTATCACTGCTAATTTTAGAAAGCTCACGCCATTCAAATTTGAAACAATTACACCCAGCAAAATATTCCTCTCATGAGCTGCATGCCTGCCTTGCACTGAGGAGCTGGCACTGAGGGTTTTTAGCTGGTTTCTTGAATTGCATCAAGCTAGACCAGCTTGACAGTCTACACCCTAATGGAGAGGCTAAACTTTAACATGGAGGGTTATGTTGCTGATTAGCATTTCCAATAATCAAGTAATTGGTATATTATATAATCTAGAGTGTTGGCTACTTGCCCAAAAAGGTCACACTTGAACTGATTCCTTTTTACAGCCATCCATGTTATTATTCCTCACATTCTATCTGCCTGCCCAGAACTCTATCATGGATGGATCTGGATCATTTTCCTCAATTAATACAATTTGATAGGAAACTAAATTCAGGAAAAGTTACATATTATGTCACATATGTTCAGATTTCCCAATTAGAGGAGCCAGAGGGAGAGAGAACTTTCAGGACTGTTTCTTCTAACAAGTTAATGAGATTCTGGGACCAGCATAATAATTAAACTGCCAGGGCCCAGGTCATCAAAAATGAGGGACCAAATCCTTCCCTGTGTAGCTTATTCCTGCACGGGGACTGGGAAGCTCCATGTGTTCCTGAGTCTGTACGTGTGGAGTTTCCTCATCCCATTGCCAAGGGAGGTGGGTTTTATCTCTACCCTCACCATGGAACAGGTAGGGGGGTTGGGCAAAAGAGCTTGTGGCTAGGGTCATCAGCACAGAGACCATGTGCCTCAGAATTGCCTTCTGTTCACACCCACAGATACCTATCAGAACAAAGCTCAAGACGTTGGTTGCAAATATATTTGGGGCCTATCCTCCTCTTAAATGCAACAGTGCTATTCAAGTTAAACCATAGCCACAGAAGCAGCATCCTCTAGGCCTTTGGTAGTATGCCTTCTGGAGGAGCTGGACTGCCATGGGCAGCCCCAGTCCCACTGTCATATGTTGCTGGGGAGTCGGGATTCATAGCGAGGAGGAAGAATTAAGCTAAAGTTGATGGTATTAACAGTAACATATTCAGTGATTGCCCATGGAGCATGGGGTTAGAGGCTAGGCAACAATGTTTTGTTTCTCCATGCTCAGCCACTCTGTACCCACAGAACATCACCCCCGTGGAATGTTCATAGAGGGGCTTCTTGACGCTGGAGCGCGGGGCGGGAGAGTGGGACTAGGGAGCTGCCATAGACCTGGCGTCACCCCCCCTGGGATTGCTGTCTTTTTATTTGCAGTGGCAAAGGAGAGTTTAGCCCCATCATTGGGTTCTATGTGAAGCTAAGTAATCAAATCATTTCAAGGGTTCATCTCAATCCAATATCAGGTTTGTGTGGGTTAGCTGTATATGCTCTAAAGAAACACTGCACCCGCTGGCATTTCACAGAGACTATGGCGTCATTTGGAGTGAGGTGACTATTCACATCATTTTCTTCTATAGGGTATTTTGGGGCTATGCTCTTTCTTTGGAAATACAAATGGATTCTGCCTTTGCATTTCTTTTGTGCAACTTTTTTCTTTTAAGTCACAGGTGACCATTAACCATTTTCTGTGCTATTACACACAACTCTTAAAGGCACTGTAGACACCTGGGAACTGAAAACCTACCAGTAAAATAAGTGACAAAAACAATCCATACCCTAAGAAAAAGAAATACCAAACTATATATACACATCTTTGTGAACAGGAAAATGATTATTCATTCCGGTAATTGACTGATAGTTTTCAATGCTAGACATGCTGATGCTTGATGAATTTAAGAAGTGGGGGAAACAACAACTGACTCATGAATGTTCCTCTTTGTGTCTTTTGGGTGCTGTCTGTCTGAGCTCAGGTTATCCAGTTTCTGTGTGGAATATTATATGCAAAGTTATGTCACATACAATAGTGTCAGCACCACAAACAGATAAACATCTGAATGAAGCCAGAGCTTTCTGAGCTGAGAGTGCCTAACTGTGGAAGATGCGGTAGTCTGACTGATGTTAAACTAAAGTGAATTGAGCTCAGGTATAAACATGGTGTAGACACTGTGGATTGAGGTAAATGGGATTAATGCAAAAGGCATGGGTTAGCCTGATAATAATTAATAGGGAGATAGTCAAACAGCAGTATTCCCTATAGATCAAAGCACTGTTCCAATGTAAAGCATAGTTGTGTGTATGATTATACAGTTTGGCTCGAACAGTATTTATTATGATATGAGCTCTGACCATAGCATAGCAGTGTTTGCAACAAAGATCTTGATGCTTTAATAGCAAGGTAATATAATATGCATACTGCAAGGTCCATTTGTTTTCCCTAGCTGTGAAGGGCTGGAAGATCTTAAGTATGTTTTCAGCTTCTGGGTTATTATATACGTTAATTATTGGTCCAAGAAACTTACAGGTGTAGTCTATTTAATAAGTGTATTTTTAAATGTCAGTGTGTGCCTTGAGCATAGGATAGGGGTTCAATTTCACTGAACGAGTGTGGACATTAAAATAAGTAAATACGTGAAAAAAACTCTTTGTGAGCAAAGGGAGAGCTCATTCTGTATTCAAGGGTATAAGAGCAAGAACAATAAATACAGTGGTCCCCATATAAAAAGTTAGCGTTTATCACATCCCAGTGTCTGTGATTGTGCACTTATTCTCTATTATGAGCATAGAGGAATATTGCAGTATCCCAGATACCACAACATGTTAATTGTTAATGGATACTGAGCTGTTAATGGCAACTTCTGTGAGTCATTACTGCACTACAATGGACAGCACAAAATATGATTTACTGGAGGTTATGGAATACTCTACAGATTGTAATAAAATTTGGCATGTCACCAAGCCATATCCGGCAAATCATCAGTATTTGATTTCTGAATGGATTCTTGTAACACCCACCACTCTCCTTTTTTTCTTAAAGAACCTCTCCAATCTCATGTATCTAAGGGAAATGCAATTACATTGTGCACACACGTTTGAAGCAAGAATAGACATATATTAAAGTATTAATTTTATAAAGGTACTGTTTTGTCACCAGGACTCAGCAAATTGGGGGGGTTGAAGGGAATGGGTTGCAGAACGTTTTTGCCTCTGGATCACTGTTTCACCTCAGTGGGGTGGAATTATTATTTATTATTTATATTGCAGTAGAGCCCTCTGGCCTCAGTCACGGACCATAATAAAAAATATAAATTTGAAAAAAAAGTGCTAACATGCTTTTAAAAGTGAGAGAGATGGACTGAGACAGGTGTCTGGGTTGTAAGGGAGCGGAGTTCTATATCCTAGAGGCCACCAGGACATAAACATCACTGCCAGTTAACCTGAGACAAGATGGTAAGATCCCTAATGGGAGATGGGGTCTAAGCACAGATACCCACTGGATCAAAACTCAAGAAAGAACTCTTGAACATAGCCAGGGCCTACACTGCTTTTAACTCCACCAGTGCCAGCTTGAAGTCAGTGTGTTACTCTGAATGCAGGTTGGAGTAATATGATTGTGGTTAACCAAAACAATGAGTAATCATGCGCTGAACTAGCAGCAAGCTGTGGAGTTGGTCTGCTCTGCTGAGGGGGAATGACGATAATTAAACATTGTGGTCATGAGGACATGACTTGCCGGTACCCAATTGGGTTAAACATTTAAAACCAGATTGACTGCTCAGACCTAGAACTTGTGATAGGTAGAGATCCATGAGTTCAGACATACACAACACAAGAACTTCACAGCCAGCACCATAGCGGAATGTTCTGTGAGCACAAAGCTGAAGACACTGCCGATGGGTGGAGGATTGACAGATACAAAGATGATACAAGACAAAGACAATATTAAAAACATAAATAATAATATTTTCTCTTTTTTTGTTAATAAATCGGAATCTCTCTCTTTGTTTTACAAACGCCATATCCATATGAGTGTGAATCATACCTGAAAACACTGATATTCATTCTATTCACACAGAAGGCAGTAGTGGTTACACAAACCTTTACTTATTCTGATTTCGAATTCGGAGACACCTCCTTTTCAATGGTGGCTCCAGATCCTCTGGCCCTGTGCTGAGTATTGGCGTTGAGATTATACATGGTGCCATAGCAGTCTTTTCTGCTGGTTTTGGCACAGGCTGGATCACACAACCTGTCTTGGGCAGCATCCGCAAAGCATATGCATGGTCCTCATCTGCAGGGTTGTTAAGGTTGGGGTCTTGCTTGTCTCCCCCAGTGAGGGGCTCTTCTCCCATCTTCTTGCCAGCATCTCCTTCTAGGTGGCAGTTTGATGCACAGTTGTTCTCCTTAACAGATTCCAACTCACTCACTGCTGGCTCTTCTTGAGGTTGAGGCTTTTTCTGCTCTGGGGATTGTTCTGAGTTCTTAGAACCCTCTGTGCTCTTTGTGCCATTCACAATGACATTGCAAACTGCTGCACTAGTTTCTAGTCCTGAAGTGCCAGAGGCCAGTGAGACAGGACCACAGTGAGCTGGGTGGCTGCAAGGTAACATTTTTGTTTCAATTGGGCTGCAATTGTCCCTGCAGTTGCTGCAGTTCCTTTTATCTGAGCTACTCAAAGCCAAATTTACAACACTGTTAGGTTCACGTTCAACTTTAACTTGAGCATGTAAAGCCCTGTGGATAACATTGTGTAGCCTAGACCTGTGCCCTACAGTTAGGTCTATCACACCATCCTGTGGACCCTGTAGTACACTGGAAAAACTAAATTTATTGTTCATTGGACTACTAGGTCTCACAGTCAAATCAACAACTTCATTTCTACTATGCTCCTGAACCACTTGAGCTTGATTTAAGGACTGGCCCGAACAGCTAGGTGACGAGTCGGAGGATTTAGAAGGCCCTTGCTTTGACTCTCTAGGGGACGTAGAATTATTTGTTGGCTTTGCCCCTGCTGCATCACTGGAGGTACTTGGAATGAAGTTTTCACCATTGCTGGAGAAGCCATTGGGGGGCTTGGAATCATTGATGTGAGGGATGGGAATTGGAATAGGGATAGGTACAGGCAAAGGAACAATGACAGGATATGGCACTAAGAGGGTTGGGGGTGGCACCAGTGGGGCAAGAGATGGCAATCCAAAGTTCATCATCTGTGGCATAGGCATAGGACCATTTGGCATCATGCTGACGGGGGGAAAGGGAAGGCTAGGTAAAGGAGCTCCGGGAGGGGGAGGTGGTAGTAACCCTGGGGGATTGCCAGGCATGGTAGGTGTTGTTGGGGGATGAATATGAGGTGATAGCATTGGCCTGTGCATGGGGCTGGAGGTGGGACCTATATTCCTGGGACCACCTGGTGGTGGACCAATTCCAGGAATCATTGGATTGGACAAAGGGCTATTAGGATTCGAGGCATGATGAGGTGGCCCTCGAATAAATGGTGGACGGATTTGCTGCATAATTTGCTGTTCCATGAATATGGGCAGAGGAACTGGCCCCCGGTTTGTCATCACCATGGGAGGGCTTCGAGGTGGGACACCAATTGGAGGCACAATGCTAGCAGGTGGCTGAACAGAAACTGGTGGAATATTTGGATTCTCATTCATGGGAATAGGTTTGGGAACTGGCGTGGGGATTTTAGTGACAGAGCAGTTGGCAGTGTCAGACGGAGAGGCAGTGGTAGACGCTGATGGTCCAGGGCCTTGAATTTGGCCAGCTGCAGACACTGGGGATGGGGCCTTTCTCCGAGCATCTGCTAGCGGTATATTCCAAGAATCTGGAGTCAGCAGCTGTACCCCAGTACCTTCTGCTTTATTTTCGACTGGAGGATGTAATGTGCTGCACAGTCCAGCTGGAAGATTGGCCTGTGTCTCTTTGTAGAAAATGTCCATTTTGTACTGATTGAGACATTTTGCACTGCAGAACTGAAGCCTTCGTTCCCCGTCCCCAAAATCCAGATACTCTTTTGTGTGTCTTATGTGCTTACACCAGTCACATACCTACAACACAGTAACAAAATCAAAACAGGTAAGAAAAGTGATCTTCTCTTTTTGGTGTAATTTTAATAGTCATTTTTCAGTGCTTTCTAAATATCTGATTTATTTCTCTAACAGGGACAAATTAGAAACATAGTGTGAAAATTACATTTTTTTACGTCAGAATATAACTGAACTAAATGTCCCAAATTTTTATGGCCCTCCTATTCTTAACTCTGTCTTATACAATACATTAAATATTATATATACATACTGTGGAGGAGATCCTCAGCTGCTGTAAATTGGCATAGCTTCACTGACTTCTTAGACGTAGCTTCTATGACAACTTAAGCCAGCTGAAGATCTGTGTGTGTGTGTGTGTGTGTGTGTGTGTGTGTGTCTGTGCGCCTGCACATGTATGTGGCTATGTACCTACCTGGTACATAACCTACATGTTCTTTGACATGTTGAGTTGCTACACAATAAATACGATCAAGAAACAATTTGAAAAGGATTCCAGAAAGTTCCTCAAAAATGACTGCAAACAACGTCTGCTGAGCTACAGCACCTTGTAACATTTTACATTATTAACTGTGTTAGATAATAAGTTGGAAAGGGAGACGTATTTTAAATGGTATCAAAAACCAAAAGCACCATACATCATTTGCTATGCGTTCCAAATAGAAACTTGGAAACAGTCATGAAATCTGTGTAAGGTTCAGATATTCCCAACTTGTGATGTTTCGACAAGCTGGAATTATTTTCTGAGCTGTTTGCCCACTCTTTTCACTAGTCACTTTGTGTAAAACTTCTTGGCAGATGAAGTCTTATTTAGCAACTTTTCAAATACTATAGCAAAAACTTAGTATTACAGGCTTTTTCTTTTTTTCTTTTTTCCGTTTTATTCCTTTCTGCGCTATGACTGGTGTGGTGAAGGCATTGCCAATTTTTTTTTTTTTAAGTAAGGATACAGAACTAATTAAGCTGTGAAAGGCTTTCTCAACTGTAAACCACTAGACACCAAAGTTCAAAAAATAGTCATTCTAGGCTTCAGAATCCATTACTTCAGAGAAATTATTGTGATTTCATTAACACATTAATTTTGCAACACCAACAGCTCTCACAGATGGTGAAGACATGATCTACAATTCAAATATGACTCTTGTTTGCACAAATGCCTTTCCTTCATATGGCATTTTAAACAAGAATTAATATGAGTAATCTTGCCATAGCTATAAACAGATAAACAGATGTCAGATTTTTCAGTGCCTTACTTTTTGACAGAATGTTACATACACAAGCCCTCCCACCATTTTTTGTCATTTATTTGAATTCTCAAAATATTCCATACACGGAGACTTTAGCGCTCTCTATAATCAGTATGTTGAGCCTCTGACCATGTCAGAATACAGTACTATGTTGGGTGTATTCTTACTTTTCCGAACAGCTTTTTTAAGATGACTGTCTTTACATTATATATATATATATATATATATATATAAAAACAAAAGAAAAGAATATCACTGTGAAATGGCAGCTTTAAAAACATAATTAATTTTAATAACTATTGGCCATATAAACAATTCAAAACAACATATGTCGGACATTTGATTACTCATCTCATTTAACTCTCAGCTTTCTTTCAATATAAACAGTGATGACATTTTAGAGTGTGTGTGTATGTATGTGTATATATATATATATATACTTAGTTATACTATTTTTTTTTAGCTATGTAGCTCTTTGGTTATCCTTTAACCATTTCTCTCTTTCTCTTATGCACTGTCTCTCTCTCTTTTTATTCACTCATGAGGTTTTCATCCTGACTCAAAGATTTTTTAAAAGTATTAAACTAAATGATCCTTTGACTACTAAATCACCTCTGAAGTCTGGAAATCAATAGGCCAGATTGTCATCCGGAATAAACCAGTGTAGTTCTATAGAAGTCAAAAGTGCAACACTGATTTACACCACCTGAGGATCTGGCCATATGTAGCTTGTTATGCTCAATGCAGTCTACATTCTCATTTCCACTGCATTGATCCAGACAAGAAAGAGAGTTTCACTGCATGTTACAAACCTTACAAATGTGGCAATCCCTTCAGAGCTGGAAAAATAAAAATGTAATGTCCTACAATTCAAAATAAACTGGTAAACTCATAACAAAAGCACCAACATAAAAGCCTTAGCTGGAAAGATGCACCCAGACCTTTGTAGGACTGTAAAATGATGTGTACTCACAGTGAATACAGCAGAACTCCTTCCTACTGTATAGGAAGTATTAAGGGGGAAGAACTGTTGGGTTTTATTAATTGTAATAAGAAGTAGTGAAATGCTGCCCAACTCTGGGTCACTTTTTGCCCTCTTCACATTCCCACAGAAGATACCTGCAAAATGGAGCAATTTTCTGAAGTGGAAAGAAAGTTGGGCACAAACCACAATTTCCCCATAGCTCCAGAAATCCCTTGTACTGAATGGGGAGCTGTGACAGGGGTAGATAGCTGCCAAGAGAGAGCTGAGGGATGGACTCAACATAGGTCATTATCCCCATTTCCTCAGACCAGCTGGGATTCCTACAGTGTACTGATTCCTTCGCTGGGATGGGCGTTCCTCACCCCCAAACGGGAGTAGCTGCCATGGAAAAGCACATAAAAGCTAAGGGAATGATAGTGACAAATGGGCAGATGGGGACTGGGAAGTAGTGCCGAGTATCGGGCATGTGCTCCAGTGCCCAAGGCCTTTGAGGCTCTTGGAACACCTAAGGGTTTGTAAGGCAATCCCCCACCGCCTCCATGGGGCCAAACCCTGTCCCCCAACAGGATGATCTGGTGAAACCCCACAAGCTGAACCTGAGGCTTCTCTGGCTTTTTCAGAGTTTTTCAGGAAGGAGAGAGAATTTGGCTCTGAGTCTGCACTTCAAGTTAATAGAAGCTTTTCCTCAGTAACGCTGGCAATATTTGGCCCAAGGTAATTTTTGATGTAGAGTTTGCCAAAATGGTATTCACATTCCATTTATAGAATTGGGTATAAGGGAGTAAGGTGCCTCCTTAATCTCCTGGGCAGGCTACACTCCCCATGGGCTACAGCATGGGAAGGGCGCTACTCCCTCTGCTGCACAGATAGGTAAGGAATACGCAGGCAATGAAGAGAACATTGATCCTGTCTCTACTCCCAACATACTTTTCAGCAGAGCTGAGCTAATGCAGAGTGGTTGTAATCTGCTACTGATCTATACCAGCAGTAGAATACTTCCCCCTCCACCCAGTGGAGCAAGGGAGTAAACAGGGCTCCACGCCACAACCTCCTCTCTGGTCTGCTCCTGGGATGGTGTAGCTATGTGCTGCCCCTTCTTCAGGGCACATTGTAAAGTGGCAATCTACTCCTAAAGACTTCAAGACTGTAGGCAAAGAAATAATTGAGAAAAATAGGAAGGGATTAAAAAAAAAAAAAGCTTCTTTATCTTTCTACTGAAGAGCTCAGTGGCTTTGGCCAAATAGATTAAAAGAAAAAATACAGCAGAAAATTCCTGGCATCTTTCTAATCATTTAATTGTATTGGTTATCAGTTGAAGAGTTCACTGAAATACTTCAGTGTTTTATTGCTGTATTAATTTGTTTGTCTCCAATGGGTTCCTATGGCACCTGCAGCTAAACAAATATTTTCTCTTCTCTGCTAAAATAGTTAGAAATCCTGCTTAGAAATTCTCTACTGATTTGTCCTGTTTTCAATCATTCACTGAGGTACCAGAAATGCTCAAGCCAGTCTGCCTCACTCACACATTGATCACAGCCCTTTCAGTATCTTTTATCATCAGATAAAATTAAAGGCACAAAAGCTAGATGCAATATTTCTATTCCTGTGAACATTCTAGATGGACCAATGTCTCATAATTATCTAACTGATTTTATGCAATATCCCAAAGTGATTAAGGTTAAGGTAACTGATACCTGCCTGTCTGAAATACTTTGTGAGGATGGGGAGGAGCGTGTGTGACTTCCTGGTAAAATTACATCCTAGAATATAATGCTAAAAATGGAGAAAAACAATCCTTCAAAGTGGGGAGAAATTACTGGAGGAGAAAAATGTCACTTAAGAATTAATGTATCAAGTCTGTCTTACAGGATTGATCATTTAAGATGAGGTCAATGAATTTATGATACCAATGGCTATATCACTCAGGGTAATAAAAGAGAGCAATATCATTCATTTTACATCTAACTAATGACATGCTCAAAGTAATTACAGATTTCTTTAAGAGCCATTGCTGATTACTTAAGATGTGATAACTAGGTGAAACATATATATCTTTCAGTTCAATAAAATAACATTTTCCTATCTGTGAAATATACAGCAAGTGTCATTTAAAAAAAAAGGAACTTGCATTATAGATTGATCTTCTGTGTTATTTTTTACAAGCTGCTTGAAATCTGTGTGCCCTCTTTTCATTTTCCTTTTTTATTACGTTATCTTTTCCCTTTATTGTACAGACAAGTGAGGAGTTAAGTTGCTGCAGAAGGCTTTTTAACAGTTGTGTGTAAAATGCTGTAATCCTTATGCAGGCGAGTAGTCCCACAGTCCACCGTGGAATTGCTCATGTGATTTAATGCTGCATGATCAAGTTCTTATGGCCCGATTCAATGCCGATGGAAGACAATGTAAAGACTCCCATTTACTTCAATGGGCTTTAGATCAGGCCCTCAGTGCTAGCCTCTGCTTGCAATGAAATCAGTGGGAGTTTTGCCATTGATTTCAGTAGGGTCAGAAGCAGGGCCAGAATATTTTCTAAGTAGCTGCACAGTGTTCTACAGATATAAAATTCAGTTCATCATGCTAACATAAAGGAATGCAAAGCAAAATGCTAAAATGATTATATATGTAACCTTTCCCAACAAACCATTTCCAGCTGCACTTTCTATTTGCAAATTTCTAATAAAAAGGGATGTGGGGCCGTCAAATTACTGCCTAATGAATAATGTGTGATAATGAAAATTATGGTGATGAATGGTCTGATCTTGCGAGGCACT